TTAATTGACTTGAAATTTTGACACAATATTCTTCAAATATTATGCATTCAATTTAAAAAATAAAAAAAAAATTGAAAAAAAAAAAATTTAATACCTTACCCTCCCCTTAACAGTTTGTTTCAGAGTTTGCTTAACAATTTTGTGGCCCAGCCTTTCAAAAAAAGACAAAGTTGAGAAAAAGTAACACAAAAACCAATTTCGCGCTTAATTTGATTTGTTATTCTTTGTTGTTGAAAGACACCTGCCTACTTTTCTTTGCAGCCCTTTTTTTGGGTTCTTTGGTTGGTTGACTTCTTATTATTTTTTTAAAAGAACTGAAAACAAAATCCCTGTTTTTTTAACCCCATTGTGAGACTTTCTAATCGGTTAATTCCTAAAAAAAAAATGTAAGTGACACATAATGCAAAATTCATTGCCTGGAAATACCTGCATAATCACTTCCGATTCGTCGGGAAGCTGACTCACCCAACAGCCACGATGACAAACACTATAACCAGACTCGAATTAAAGCCCCAATACCAACCATGACCCACGCAAAAAGTTTACAAACAACAAAAGGCAAAAAATCGTGTAATAAACAACAAAAAAACTAAACTTTTCGCCCACTCAGTGAACTTGAAAATATTTTATCGGAATAAAGCCCTTCAAAATAATCAAAATTTCAAATGCAACAATATAAAATTTATGTTAAAAAGCAATTAAACATCAACAAAAAACGACAGAAATACAAAAAACAATGCCAAAGTCAAAACCATTTCTGTTAACAATGAAAAATGGCAGCAATGGAAAGGAAATGTTCCATGTCAGTGGAGTTTATTTTGCAGCAGTTATTTTTATACAAAAAAATTCGTTTTTTTTTTAAGTGCAATTGTGGCTAGAAAAAGCTGTCGATTGTGGTGGTGGTGCTGGTAAATGGTCCATGGTCCGTTGGGTGCCATGAATTGGTTCTGTCTGGGCCTGAAACTCACTCGACTGTCAATCAAATGTAATGAATACGCACTTTTCTATCAGAGTTCGATGGGAGCGTTATTCCCTGACCAGCACCACCCGGTGGGTCAATCATTTGTCCATTTAACCCTGAGCTGTCCATTTAAAATCAAAAAAAAAAAGAATAAAAAACCTATCTAGAATAGCCCTGACCTACCCTTAAAAAAGTTATCCAAAAGTGCTGGAAATTACAAAAGTACTTTTACTTTTATTTGAAAATATTGTTAGGCTTTTTTGTTGTCTTTCCCTAACTTTTTGTGGAATCTGTTTTTAAAGTTTATCTATTTTTTATCAATTCCATGGATATATGTATATTTTTTCTAGTTCAACACTCAAAACTTTATGCCCTTGCCAAGTTAGTAACTTTGATTCGAGCGTGAGATCAGCTCGTGTCTTTGTTTTGACTATATTATCTTTTATAGATCATAAAATTGGGAACCAGTTTTTTTAATTATTCACACTTTGCAAAGATAAGATAAAGGGTCTATTATTTAGGGCTTAAAGGTATGGTATAGTCTTTTCATATTGCGTGGTGTGACAACATTTCCAAGGCAAAACGAAGACATCTTTTTCGCCATCATTAAGAGTCATCCATTTTACTCAATTTATATTACAAACAGTGGCATTTCTTTATTTTTCATAAACGAAAGTACCACCACCATTGCATTCTTCAATATATTATTTGAAGTCTGAATATGATTGAAACTAAAACCAAAATAAACTTAGAAGTATCACTCATAGGACTCACCAATAGGACTTGTTTAGCTACTTATTTAGTGTATAGTTTGAATGCCATTTACCCTTTGCTTCCCACATTTCTCTGAGAACTTTTTATTCGCATTCCTCAAACCAATTTAGCAAATTTGAATTTGTGGCTTAGGCCGCCATGGGTCCATCATCATCATTCCGCATTCCTCTGGGAATTCTACGGTTTGAGAGAAAGCCACAAATTGAATTAGAGCCATGTTGGGGTATTAAGAAAATAATTTGCAAAGAAATTACATAAAGGAAAACAAGTGCCAAACACATATGCGCCGACAGATGCAGTCACGCAGATATTCGCCCACACAAAGTGCATATAGTAGTCTGTTCGGAGATATTTGTATGAATATAAATGTATATAGTAGTACGATCCAAGCGACCGCAGTGTGGTTTGCCAATTTAACTGAAATAAAACGCCCACATGCAACCGGTGGCGACTTGGAAGCTTTTTGAGGGGGCAAACCGGCAAACTTGCAACTGGCAACCGGCAACTGGCAACCGAGCAACCCAGCAACACAGCAAACTTGCAACCCAACAAACTGGCATTAAGCCATTGAAGGCGAGAGACCGAGAGGAAAATGCAGTGGAAAATTCAAATCAATTTAACGCAGACCGCAAGTTGAATAAATCTAATGAACAGAAAACAAAAAATTGTGCCTCGGCACATGCGTTTAAAAAAAGGGGAAAAGTTCAAAGGGGCATACTAAACAAGAAGAAAAACCCTAGGATAATTTTGCAATTTAAATTTAGAAGCTCTAGTTAGTTTTATTGAATTCATAGAGCTGTGTCTGTAATATCGCATCCACGCAATTAATTGGTCTAAGATCCATGAAATTAAGTTAATTTCCACGCTCCATAAAACAAGGTGCGTGTCTAAGTTCCTTACATGCACATAAATATGTAAATGTTAAAATAATTAAGTACTTTGTGGCAGCCCACACTTGTCTATTAGATTAAAGTGTATACAGCCAACTGGCTTTGAAGGACGCAGGAGAGCTAGGTAACTGCAGCTGGTGGGAAATGTTAACTTGTTCTTATTCTGCACAGGAAGTCATTAATTCCTAAAGTTCTTACAGGGTAAATGCAACAGGAAAAGAACAATGGAGAGGAAGATAAAGAAGTTATACATTTTCTCACTATAATTATAAATACATTTATGATGTATATTCCCAATGTAATGCACTTCCTTTTCACATCAAACCTACAAGCTTTCAGAGTCGCCTGCTTTCTTTCATCGATAATTTCCAAAACATCTCTGAGATGTCGCTGTCCCAGAGCCCACATGAAAAATGGCTGCCTGGGAGGACAGCCAACAAATCATTATGTTCAGCAGGTGACTCGACTCGAACTCTGCGATAACACTTTATCGATATTGCATAAGTACAATTGCCAGTCGGACATCTCATCCAGGCCATTCCTGTTTCGAGGGGGATTTCAAATGGAGAGAGAACGACAAACCACCAACGAGAACCACGTCCGGTTGGCTGGGTAAAGTGGATTACAAGCGCCTGGGCTGCGACTTCGACTCCAACTTCCATTCCCAATTCCATTACCATATCGAAAGCTAAAGCCAAAGCCATTCATGCCCACTTGACAAACACATAGGCAAACATTTGCCCGCTTATTTATTGCAAATCAAAAACTGCAGTTTGATATTTTAGCCGCGTGGGTCGGAGCAGCTGCCAGAGTCTGGAGTGGTTAGAGAATCTGGAGAAGGAGGACTTACCCTCCAATGTTTCCAGCCCACATGGATTATCTTTGAACTTCATGGCTTAAGTTTTGCGTTGGATGATGCAACCGGATAGGGAATCTTTTCCAGAGATGGGAATTCTTTGTTACCTATTTCGGCTTCAAGGAGAATATTTAGCATATTGTGACTAGTATTTCCCTTAACCGGAAACTATGCATATTCTTAGGGTTGATTTCAATTATTTACGATAGCTTTTGATGATCCCTAGGCCTTCCCTAGAATTGACCATCCACATTTTTTCGTAACCTTTCTGGAACAGCACATGGCATAATTTGTGAACAACTGTTTTCTGTTTTCTGCTCTGGACAGGAGGGACAATCAACAAGTGCGCCCGTCTGACATTTGTTAAAAAAAAACAAAAAAAAAGAGACAAAAGCCAATTTACATATTGCAGAAAATGTCAACTGGCGGCAGAAATTGCCGGTGGCATGTCGTGTGCGCAGGCGCAGCAGCAGCGTGCAACAGCAGCAGATGCCACAAAAAGCGAGGGAAACATTGCTCTGGGGTGGCGAAATTGATGTAGGGGTTGCTTGTGGCAAACTGCAACTGACGTCCACAAACGGCACACTTAATTAAGGTTCGTCATATGCAAAAATGTTGCTTTCAGAAAATTTATATGGTATTTTACAGCAAACCACAATGGTAGCTTCCCTTAAAAGGTTATAAGTTCTTGGGAATTGAAATTTCAAAGAGTAGCTTCTTGGAATTTTAAGGTATATACATTTTTCCATTGATTTTTGCTTTTACCCATCAGCTTTCAGTTGTCAGCAATTTTTCGTTGCAATTTGTAAACAAAAATAAATAAGCAACGGCCATTGGAAATGCTGACGATTGGTGGCAAGCATTTTTACATAATATTGACACAGAAAGACAAAGTGCTAATAGAAATAATAAACCAACGAGGCAGGCGGCACAGATTAAATCAATTACTGGCCAGCCAAGTGCATTCGAGCCAAGAATTCCGCTGATTGGACGACTAAATGGCCAGAGTTTTGAGGGAAAAAAGCCAAACGGAGGAGAGCAGGTGGTGGGGCAAAAAGTCCAAACAAACAAATACGAAAAGAAATCTAAACAGATACCTCTTTTTATGCCAAGAATTGTCTTGTGACAGTTGCACAAACGAGATTTAATTGACAGAGACAATTTATGCAAACGGTGGCCATAAAACAAGTGCAGCGAGATTTGTGTATTTAGATTTGAGTTTGTTACCGTTTTACTCTTTTTATAGTTTGGCGTTTTAAATCAATCAGATTAGGCCATGAAAGGCATTCAAACAAATAGCATTTTTGCTCTCAATACCAAACTAATTAAAATAGTTTTTAAGGGCAAGAAACATTTAAATAATAATGCTCTTAAATTACAAAAGTATTTCATCTGAATCCACACCTGCTTGTAATTTTCTTATTAACATTTCGAAACGCTTCAAGTCATTAGCTTTTTTCTTTAGCCCCTTTACAGACTCTTAATTCATTCGTATCCCCTTGGCTATCTCCATTTGCAGATCTCCAGTCCATTCGACGTCTCCTGGAACACGATGCCTCTGGCTCGGTCTGCCCCTCCTGCCGCATATCCTTCGACAAGGGCAAAAGACGGAAACTGATCGACACCTGTGGCCACGAACGGTGCTATTCCTGTATGTTCCGCAACGATCAGTGTCCCATGTGCATGAACAGTTCGCTGAAAGGTGAGTGCCAGTATCTGTATCTTTTTATACTCTGTAGTATGTACCATATTTTTTAGGAGTATAAGCATCCGACCAGTAACGGGTACCCCATAGTCGAGAAAGAAACTCTAGTCTTGTTGAAAAATTTTCAGTATGTGTTATGTGTGTTATATGTTATGTGTTGTATCTGTGTATCTGTATACTTTTTTCGCATATCTTTCGGATATTCCATATGAGGCAGATATTTTGTTACATGGAGACCAAAAATGCAACATGAATTCCAAAAAAGCCAAATAAAAATTTTAATTTAATGTCTTTAGAAATAATTAAAACAAATAGCCTCTTCTATCTTGTCCTATGAGCAGAAGATGCAGTTTAATTCAGTATTCAGTTTATATTTTTTTAAGAATAAGCCCTAAGAGCCTAACTTCTTGGCTTAAATATTAAATCCCCAAGCATTTGCCAAGTCCAGCAATTTCTTGAGACTCCTCAAATGACGTTTCGAGTTGCAAATGCAAATGATACCTGGCTCTTGGCATACTCACCTTTTTTTATTTTTGAAAAAAATATATGTATACAGAAAAATATTAATATTCAAATTGTGTACAAATTGCTTGGCATGCAGAATTCGTATTGTCGGTTAACTTTTTAAAATCAAAGGCATCATCATCGAGCTTGGGCATTCGGCCAAGAAACGCCTCCCACTCCTCCTACTGTCACTTACTGACTTGCCCATGAAAACCGAAAGTTATGCACCTCTTTAGCCCATTGCTGACACGATTCCAGAAGCCCAACAGCCTACTGGATTTATTAGCTGCCGATTGTACACGATCGTGTCACCTGCTCTCTGTGGGCCTTTAGGCTTTTGTGGGAATTTACGATCTGGCCCAGAAGACACCAGGGGGCTGAGGAGTCTAGGGGACTGGGGGACTGGTGGCTCTTTATTTATGGTCAGGGCTCTGCTTTATTTGCATACCTAATTAAGTGATACAGTTCGTGGAATGGAAATTACCTCAACCAGTTGGCTTTACGGTATTTAGATAGGATAATTATGTGAGACTTTTGGATGACATGGACGTTGATATATATTCCATACACTTGGATACAAAATGGCACGATTTTATAAAAGGTTTGCATATAGGTAGAGCTTTGAATATGTACCTTTTATTCTTCTCAAAAACGATTCCCCAAGTCTATGGATTCACCACTGACTTCTTGACCTAAAACCACAACCTTTAACCCATTGAGAAAATCTAGAAAAACATTTTCCCTAAGGGCCATGCATGTGTGCCACTTTTTGCAGAAAACACACACGCTTTTCTTTGCCTTTTCCTCGAGTGCGTTTGTGTAAACACATCTTGACTTGATTACTAACATAGTTTTTTAGATTTTTTTACTCTCCAGCTATCTTTATATTTATTTATATATATTTTTTTATTTGGCACAGATGTGGATGGCGCCAACGCTCAGGGGTATGACACCGGGATCGGTGGCTCCACGTCGACGATTGTGAGTCCGCTTGGATCGCCGCAGCCGCAGCTCAGATCGCATGCGCAGCGGAACGCGGCACTGGCGCGCTACATGCAGGTGAGTGCGTACTCTAAGATACTCGTACTCATGGATACACACACCTCCGGTTTAGGTTCGGCGTCGTCTTTAGTGTGTTTACCTTAATGGCCTCTTGATTACGATGAGACTCGACGCCATCAAAGAAATGGAAGTGGCGAGCGGTCTTTGAGAAAAAAAAAGACTGAAAGAAATCACCGCAGAAGAATGGAAAAGAGAAAGAAATCTTTTTCATTTTTTTGTAACTTTCGGCCAAAATGACGCTTTGTTAGACATCTTCAATCGACTCCCATTTCCGCTCATCTTTCCAAGCGCGTCTTTTGTCCAAAATTTTGGGTTATCAACACATTTTCTGATCAGTTCCCGTTGGAGAGTGGGAAAGAGGGAAAACCCGTGGGCAGAACATAGCTCTACCTCCAGTATTAGTCCCCAAAATCCGATCGTAAAACGGTTTAATTTAGTTTTAATCAAGCCATCCCAGAGTGTGAACCAATTTGTTCTACTTAGCATAGGAAATCGGTTTGGTAATAAAAGCTATGTTCATTCTGGGTGGTATGACTAGGCATTTAGGGAAACATGAATATTATAAAGGTTTTAAAATAGTATATAATTGTAGGCTCTCAAACCACAGTGCCTAAAATTTAAACAAAGAGTCCTACTCTTAACAACCACTTTCCTCTTAATTAATTTAATTTGATTTATCTTTAACAATGACGACAATAACTCTTTCAACCAAACTGATCAGATCAGCAACAGAAACAGGAATCTCTGACTGATACTCCTCCAGCGCCAGCTCCAGCTCCAGCTTCAGCCCTCCTCCTTCGCCATTTCGAATCCATCGGGATCATCGCCGTCAGACTGTCAGCAAATGTCACTTTAAATACGCCAAAACGGCGCAAAAGTTTCAATTGTCGGGCGCCGTTGGGAGCCAAAAAATAGTGGGTTTTCGGGGGGAGTCTGTGGGGCATCCAAGGGGAGACTATCGAGAGGAAGAAGGCTAGAGCAGATCGCCGGTGCCAGATAGCTTGTCTGGCAGGATGCAGTCGCATCAGCGGAGGCAGGCCATAGTCTCTGGTAGCTGCAGATACTCGAACCGTGGCCGTATCTCATATTGTGTATCTCAAAGCGACTGTCAAATGGTTAAACTGACAGTTTGTTTTTCCACCATAAGAAGTCGGGTAGCAGGCAGCATGCCACAGTTGCTGCCTTGGGAGGGGGACGACCAGCTTGGAACTGGAGATGCGAATGGAGATCCAAATGGAGATCCGACTGGCGATGGAGAGATGGCGATGCGATGGCGATGGAGGGAAACTGGGTCATTCAGGCGGCTGAACAGCGCCTCGGGCCTCTCGGCCAACGTCCAGGGTCTTCTGTTTTCTAACTCAGGCCGAAAGCTTTTTACTCTAAAAACCAGAGGAAATATTTATGAATATTTACATTTATTTTGTGAATCAATAAGTGTATCAATCTACATTCAGTAGCATTATTATAAACATTTGCAAGCGTTCGAGTATTTATTTCATAGCGATTCTCAATTGATTTCTAAACGAGCTTCAGTTTTCAGCTTTTTGGTTTTTCGGATTTGCTGAGGTTGTACTCTCGGATACTCGTCGTATTTTTTTGGCCAGCTCTTTGACACGTGACATGGGATTTCACTTAAGAGTTTTTAATACTCGAGCATAAGCAAACTCACATACAAGAAACATAAACTGCCAAGTGACTCGGACACATGACATGGACATGAATGTAAATTTTGGACTAGCGGACTCTGATCCGACAGTCAAAAAGGACAGGCTAGACAAACAATGCTCTGGGAGAGATCTCCCCCCGAGTTAGCAGATCACAAATCCGACGTGTAAATTGATGTATAATTATTGTCAAAATATGTGAATTGCACTTTTCGCGAAAGTAATAGAAAGCTTATTTGAATTTCTCTGCAATAGGATTATGTATTTGAGAAACTTACATTGATTCAGAGTCCCCTCAGATATTTAATAAACAAAGCCTTTATATGTATCGCCTCTGATTTAATCAAGAAGATACCCATATGACACCCAGTGATCGTAAAATCATAAAATGCTCGACACCTCAGAGATCTTCAAAAGATGCCATAGAAAGAAAGTTTCCTTTTACAATCGCTCGCTGATTAATATGATTCGAATGGCTTTGATTTGATTTTGGGATGAGTCGAGATGGCCAGTTGATTGACTGGCTGGATGCATTTGGAAAACTTGCTTCTGAATGGCCATCAATTGTGGCAGATCGAGTTTATGGCTAAAAGAATCGACGTCTCTGTTTTTGGCCACCTCCGGACGACAATTGGAGCAAAAGTGGCAAAGCTGCCTTGATTTTCCTTTTCTCTCTGCCATGGATATGGTTATATGGATGTATGGTTATGGCTGCGATATGTCGGAAGTGTGTCAGTTGCTCGTTTGGTAGCCAAAGAGCACTTTACATAACTATCTATCTATCTGAGCCAAACCAGAAGTCGTTTAGGCAATTGCCGACTGGAGTTGATCGCTACGGGATGGAGTTTGGATATTGGCGAGAACTGTCATTAGATTAAGTGGCAGCTAGTCCACGTCTAATTATCGTTTGGAAATCGTGTTATAAGTTGCACAAAAACTACACAGAACTGGGCACATTAATAGGAGTTTTTATAAGGGAATTACGAATTAAATATATAGTACTATTTCTTTGCACAAAGTTGTTTTGTGTTAGGACTTGTGATTGACATGCACAGGCGACAAATCAACTTGGAAAATGCCTGTGATTCAAATGCGAAATAGTTTGCATTAAAAGCGCCAAATACAGCTGGGACCGACAAGCGACTTGCAACCATTAACCAAATGCAAGGCGCGATTTTATCTATCATGCAATTTATTTTGTTGCTTTTGGTCTGTGCCTCGTCTAATTGTCCACTGCTGGCAACAAATATGGCGTTAATTATCCACTATTTCGATAGCATCACGTATTAATGATTAACTAAAAAATTACAAAAAAAACCATAAAGCCAAGCTAAAATGTCGCGGAAGGTAATCAATCAAATGGAGCAATAGAGCACCTTGGAGTATGTATCTCTTACTCTGAGGAATGTCAAACATTGTTATTTGGTATTCGATTGGATGGATGTGTGGCAGTTGCCGTGTATCATTAGCTCTGCCACTCGTTTTTTCTTTTTTTTCACGATTTCACAAGAGATTTATGCGACCAGGTGAGTGCGACACCTGCCCAGAAACCTTGCTTGCATCTCGTATAAGTATCTCGAACTGATTCCGATTGTGAGACATCTTTCGGTTTGTTTTTTTCTGTACGACTGGCTGCCTGCTGTGCAATTATTCATTACCCATTGTGGTGACTTTCGATTGGCATTAATTTATAAACGACATGTGTGCGAATATTCATGAGTTCAACTCTGAAGGAGGTGTGACCCAGGAAGTCGAGTTTAGTCTGATTTATTTTGAAAGTTGTAGAGTTCAAAGGAGGTAGAATATAGTACCGGGTATCATACATTCGAACTATAAGGTAGTATGTAGTACCAGGTATCATATAGTCATTACTACAGTTGAAATCTTGGCAACTGTTCTATACTTCCTTCCAGGAAGTCATTAATTATTATTTATAACTCAAACTCCATTAAGCTAACAAAGTTCTTGCCTTAATTAATATTCTTTGCTAGAATTATACAATTAGTTACCAATCATTTTGACTTTCGCTCACTTAACAATCATTGACTTAATTGCCACAACCACTACCATAAACACAATAACTGCAATCAGGCTTAAATGCACATTGAAAATGGCCATAGCCAACATATCATTTAGTATCATAATCCGATGTTGAACAAGCGACTGATTATGTCTTGGTATGGACCTCCCTCCTCTCTGACCATTCACTTTGTCTATTGATCACGATTCCAACAAACAATGCAACAAACGCGTCATTGAACTCCCAGGCGCGACTCGCGGGCGACAAAAACAGCGCACACTCGCACACTTGGAGCGCCACCTGCCGGTGGAGCCCTCTCATTAGCACCAACACCGACGATTTATCAATTTTCTCAATATATCTTTCATCAAAATTGGACTATAATTAAGGCTGTCTGTCTCGAGAGGAGAATTTTCCATTTTTTCGAGTGGAGCAATGTAAAATGGCCGAAGGGGCAATGCAAAGGCCACTTCTATGACTTGCTAATTGCCTTCAAGTCGAGCTACTAGTGTGTACAAACACTGCATAGAGACCACTTTAGCTTGCAAAATGCAAATGAGCCTTATTTGTGTGCTGCTAGCTAATAAACGTGAATAATTTAATAAATACTGAGAAAATGTTCATTAGCCGGCTAAGTGACATTTAAGGTTCAAGATCTTCCTTATATACAGAGTGCTCCATAAATTCCTTATATCTCTGTGTGTGGTATAATAGTTTAAGCAAGCCAGTTATTAAGACCATTCACATGCCATTTTAAATTAATGGCAAATCATAATTTATGAACCATTTTTCTGATAAACATCCAAAACACACCCACATGAAATTACCTCAGTTTCGACTTCAGCTGGCTTGTAATTAAAATCCGAATAAACTAAAAATCAAAAGGAACCCACATCAATAGGCTTAAAACAAATTACACGGCTTATCGGTATTGGCCTAAATTTCAATTTGACCAACAAGTTAATAAAGGCCTGCCAGGAGAGTGCAATTAACGGGCTTAAAACAAAAGCCAGAGTTGGATTTCTGTTACCATGATATATGGAAAGAAAGTTGCCATCCAAAAAGGAAGATCTCCGGGCATGAGTTGGCTTGTCAGCAGAAATATGAGCTACATTGTCCCTTACAAGATGTCTTGAAAGAGAAGCACAATAAATGCGAAATATAAAACATACATGTATCCAAATTAATCATTAAGCTGCGGCGAAGAAAGAGCTTGGCAGATAAAACACACCTACCTCTACCCAAAGCCAAGAGCCAACGGCCAAAAACCAAAAATCAAAAACCGAAAGAGCCAAAATCCAACTCAATGAACC